TAAAGTTGAAAAGAAATGTGAAAATATCAATTGATACTTATGTGTTATTGGAAGATTAATGCTTGAATACCGACATAAAGTCTTAAAAAATTCAAACATTTAAAAAAACTAAAATAAATAAGCAATGCTTAGCCTGGTGAAGACACAAGTAAAGCCTGGTGCCCCACCAGGCTTATAATACCCTGGAGTGTATCAATTAAATGTTACAAACTTGGATTTCTGTAAATTGAATAATAAACATTGATAAGGGTAATTACATATGAATTGTACTTTTTACAGGTTAATGTTTGAGTAAAATAAATGCTCTTTTATTCTGTGAACTGGCAACATGTTGCCAAAATTTCAAGCAAAAATTTGGTATTTATTCGCAGAAAATGAGAAATGGTGATGCAGCGCTTTCAGACCTCAAATAATACAAAGAAAACAAGTTCATATTCATTTAGAAACAACAATGCTAATGTTTTAACTCCATTCAGAAATCAGTATTTGGTGGGATAACCAAGAGTTTTTCGATGGGGTTCAGTGCAGTGGACTCTATTCTTTTCCAGAGTTGCATATGAAATACGTTTGTGGTTGCGACTTAACAAAAGGTGAAGAATTATAAGAAATGCTTTTTGCTGTTGTCTCATTTTCACCCGGTCTGTTCCTTTTCTCTGTTTTCAGTGCAGATTAACGTTCGTGTTCACCACACACCGGACACCTCGGTCATCATTCAGCCTCATGACCAATCGGACTCCAAACCTCCTCACAAAATAGCAATGCGGCCCTTCCCACCGAGACACAAACCGAAAGGCCGCTGCTTTCAGGAGACGACGCCCAAACAGGCCGTGTGTATAAAACCTCATCACCAGTGTAGAATATTACACGTCACGCCCGCTGATGAGGCTTCTGAATCGTTTCAGTGCAACAGCACGCCGCTTCCCGTTCTGACCAATCAGGAGGATTGCTGTGGCAGTGTGGGAAACTCATGGGGACAGAACAAGTGCTACCAGTGCCCCAAATTACCAAGTGAGTAACGCTGGCCATAAAATACATTTTATTGTTCCCATTCCGGCTATTCAAATGTCATAAACTCCTATTTTTAATTTTAATACTGTACTTAAGCTCAGATCTAACAGTTTTTAATAAGATATTCCAGCAAAATCAGAAACTGTGGAAAATGTTCCTCAGATATAAAATAATGATTCATTGGGCCACATTGTTTTTCATTAAAAAAACCTACATGCTTCACATGCTGCTGAGCAAACAGTAAAGTGACTATATGTAGTTCACACTAAGACCAAAATGGTGTTGAGGACATTTATATATATAAAAGAAACTGAATTTATTTAGGGATTGCTAGAGCTTCAATTTGCAAAAAACTGAGACATGATGAGTCAAATATTTTAAGCTTTCATAACAGAGTGACTCCTGACAGAAGTGGTGCAACAGAATTAGGTTTGCATGCTAATTTGCTAGCCCACATTTGCAGCTCTGCCTCCAAAATAGACAACTGTCCGTTTTTAATACTGATTTTCCCCCATTCCTGCAGCTTTCTAGTTGACCTCTGGTCTTGAGTTGTTCCTTCAATCTTTCTATTTATTTCATAGTTGCGGTGGTGTTCACAGGCTTCAGGCTTCCTTCCTTTTCCTCCAAATGTAACAAAAGCTATTCTGGCCCAACAGTAACATTTTTGCTTCAATTAAAGATCTCATCCATTTGTGCATTTGCAGAGCGGTTTCTGACTTCTTCGCCACTGAGCGGCCCTTCAGGCCGTGTTAGTACAGCTCCACTCAGGATAATAGCCGCATCTTACCAGCTTCAGCCAACATCTGCACAAGATCTTTTTTGTGTTTTAGGCTTTGATTCACACATTTCACACCAAAACCTTCTTTGTTTTGCAGACATGATGCTCCTTTGTTTGAGGTGTTGCCTTGAAATACAGCCACGGGTTTAATTTAACTCGCATGTTCTGAAGTAACTTATCAGCAGCTTTCAAAGCCGTCTGTTTCAAGGATTTTGTCGATTTTGTGTATTTAAAATTCCAAATTTGAATAAGGTGATGAAAATGCTCTTTCAGGTAAGGTACGGTGATTTTATTTACGGAGCACATTTTCTGCAACAAGGCAGTTTAAAGTGCTTTACTTGAATCAGAAGGAAATACAAACAAAACAACAAAACTAAAAGAAAGAAAAACAAGCACAGCAGAAGAGCAGCTACACTTTAAAATGCTCCAGTCGATCTGGGTTGAAACTGTAAAGCTAAATCTTAGTTCTCCTTGTTTGATTCTTGCACTCCACAGTTTATAAATTAACAGGAGTTTCTCTAAGTCTTTCTCTGATATTAAAAGTATAAAAACTAAAACAACGCCTGTCTTATAGTTCAGTTATTTAGCAGTAGAAATATTTTTTTTTATAATCCTACCTGGCCAAAACCAGACGGTGAAAGAAAAGTCTGTTCTTAGACTGTATGTAAATATGTGTTTCCCGCTGTAGACGTAGCATATGGTGTTGAAAACAAAGGGGATGAGAAAAAGTCATGGGAATCACACTCAGACAGGGAGACAGAAACAAATACATTTTGGGGGGGGGAAGGCCTCTACTTCAGCTCATTCCTCTGCGCCTGCTCACTGTCATCACCCTGCTGAGGATTAGATTTCAGGAAAATCTTGGCCTCTCACGTTTTCCACTCCGCCATTATTCCGTCTCTCTCGGTGCTGGCTCAGACAATGCGGGCTTTGATGAAAACCTGACACCGTGAGTCTGGTCGGCGCTGCAGATGACTCTACTCCTGCACACACCGCTGTCACTTTTGTGACTCATGTGCGCATTGTTGAACCCCTCCTCCTTTCTTTTTTCAGTAAAAATAGCCATGACCTGGCCGTCTTTTCCAACGTTTCTTTTTTTCCCCTATTTTTCCACGATGTGCAGTGTTCCCACAGCTCTGTAATAAAACTGCCTCAAATATTTCACTCCCTTATAGAAAAAAAGATTCTCGTTTAGCAATACCAGTAAGAAGAAAAAGCAACTACTATACGAGCTGAAATCTTGATAAACACTTTTTTTTTTAGTCAAAGGCTTGAATAAAACTTACATTTGAAAGGAACAAAATAAAAAACAAAACAAACGGAAAAGATAGTTTACCACATAACAAAGACGTAGTTTTGGAAAATAAGTGACATGATGTCAGAGGATGAATGTGGTAACAGAACGAGCACCCAGTATAGAAACCGCTCAACCACACTCATTTTCTTTCTAAAATAAACCAAGAAGATGCGATCTAGAAGTCACAAAGTTTATTTCCTTTTTCAGAGAGAGGAACAAGACTTTTCTGTTTGCAAAGTCGCTGCTGTTTTTTCACAGAGCCTCTTGAAAACATTCTTGTTTTAACATTTTTTTCATGTAAATTCTAAAGTTTTGCTAATGTGATTTTATACTTTGACTGGGCCATTCTAACATGAAGACTGTCTGATTTGAACCATTCTTTTGGAGCTCTGGCTGTCGGAAGGTGAATTTCTCCCCAAGTTTTATTTCTTTCCTTTTACCGACCCGGACCAACTTCACTCTTCCTGACTGAGACGAGCGTCCCCTCACCATGATGCTGCCGTCACTATTTTTTTCCACCACATACCGTTCTTTGCACACGGACATAAAAACTAGTTTTTCATTGCTATTTTCAGAGTAAAGAGGGATAAAAGCAAATGACTCCTGCTCATTTTTAAAGTTTTATCATGTATGAGTACAAGACAGCTTACGTACTAAGAGTATTTTTCTGCAGGCTGTCTCCGCTGTCATCATACCTGTAGGGGGCGTACTTTTGAAACCGCTTCAACTAAAGGAACTGAAAAGCCAAAAAACAAATTTTCCATTTTCTTTTTCAGACTCTACATTATGCTGCCTTCTAGGTTTGAAAAAGCTGCTGTTGGCATGCAGCTATTTTTGGACACTAATGTCTAAAAAAGCTGCTGCAGCTTTTTTTATTCACCTGGAAGCTCAGACTTCTCTGGGTTTGATGGAAGCTGCTTTTTTTAATAAAAAAAAAAATCTTCTTTTGCATGCCAAAATAATCAAAAGTTGGTTATTGTATAAAATTTAAATATAAAATGAAATCGCACTAACAGGCAGTCCTGATTATGCACAGAGACATTTTCTTTGCAGCACGCTTATTAACTTTGGAGAGCTGTCGCATGCAGAAAGAGCTGTAGAACAAATGAAAGGTATCATATGGCCTCCTAAACTCAGGGACAGAGTTGAATAAGTATTAAGTGTATTAATTTAGTCATGTCAGCCCTCAGTAAGCCAGCAGGCCTCCACAGGCCTCTCATGCAAAACAAAGGAGTTTTGTTACTAATTTAAACATAGACATTGGTTTTGGATTTGTTTGCACCAGTGAAATGTTATACAAGTATCTCCATGTGTGGCAAAGAACGTAGTTGTTGTTTATCTTTAAAGATTTCCATCTAAATGTTTTGTTCATGTGTGAAATCTTAAAACTTTTTTTTTTCACACTCAGGAGTTTAGTAAGATGTAGAAACACCTTTTTTTTGGATCTCCTGTCTCTTCCCCCCTCAGACGCATCAGTCAAACACACCATTGTGGAAGAATACGGCTCTACCTGTCCGCAAGGCTACAAGCGATTTAACAGCACTCACTGTCAAGGTAACGACTCGAAACACGAGCCGTGCCATTTTCCGGATCTCTTGCGGAAATCGGCGTAACCTTTTTAATTTTCGCCTCCCTCCTCCTGACTGTGAAGACATCAACGAGTGCACCCTGCAGGGTGTCTGTCAGAACGGAGATTGCCTGAATACGTTGGGCAGCTTCAAGTGTTCCTGCAAATCTGGCTTCGTTTTGGAGAGAAATCGATGTGTTGGTAAGTAATAACATGATATCTCTTCAAACTACTGATGCTGAATTTCTCTCTGTAAGTTTTTTCTTTCAAATAAAAAAAATGTATTTATAATTATAAATCTTCTGTATTAATGCAAAGTCCTTATTTTTAATCAAAGATATTGAGTTGCTCTTGCTCAAAACTCCTCTCTGATGCTCAAAAAGAGTAGCTTGCTGATAAATATGCTCTGCACACTGAGGCATGTTGCTGAGCATAATGAGATTTGTGAGTAAGTAAAAGTTATTCATATTGCGCCCATCAGACAATGAAATTACAAAGTGCTTCACAAACATGAAAACAACAATAGCAGGATTTAATTTAATGTCTCTTCTGCAAATATCTTCTGTTTAAATCTTACATTTATGCTTTAACATCTTCTGTAGGGATGATGGGTTTTTTTTGTTTTTTTGTTTTTTGGAGCATTCGTCTTTGCTTTCTCTTGGTAACATCTCAATACCATGTGGCTTCAGTGTCACTGCTCTCTTTGTGCTAACAGTTCCTACCAGACTATCAAAGAGAGCAAAGGTGAGACTTCTGGTTTTGCGCACAAACAACATGAAAGTTGACTGTGAGAAACGAGATTCGAACAGGAACAACAAATATTTCTGCAAGAGACATTAAATCTGACTTCAAGGAATGAGCGGAGCATATTTGTAAGCAACGAAGAAGCAGAGTTTTGTGGGGAGAGATTGAAATAAACAATATTGCTCCCTTATCGCTGTTTTAACCGAAGCACGTCGTGTGTCAGAGTCTCCGCCGGAGCAGGCGCAGTGCTTCCTGTTGGCGTCCGACGCCAGGGGCTGTGAGCACCCGCTGGTGAACCAGATCACCCAGGAGATGTGCTGCTGCACGGTGGGCAAAGCCTGGGGCCACAAATGTGAGAGATGTCCTCAGGTGGGCACAGGTGAGTCAGTCGCCGTAGCGATAATGTTCACTGAACAGTTTCAGCTCATCCAGGGACGAAGCTCAATTCCCTCCGCGTTTCATGACTCCCGTTGCTTGGTACATTGTTGAAGAATGATTATTATTTTTTTTCCTGAGTTTTAAATAATTGATTGCATTTTTCTTTTTTTTTCTTTTTTACTTTAGCTTAAAATGTTATTACCGGTTGTTTTACATCTCATTGAAAGAAATATTGTATTTCTCTGTTGGAAAAACAAAAATTGTATTTATTGCATGCATGCATTTTTTTTTAACTAAATGCACAATTCTTTTCAAAAGTTAATGTTTAATTTTTTTAAACAAGATGAGTCAAACCTTGTCTCACTGCTGCACATCCAAATGTGGTTTCACTGCTTTTATTTTTGTGTAAATCCCAAATAGTAGACTCTTTCTAAACATAAATGTCAAATCAATGTAATTGCATACAACCAAATAACGGTTAAACTTTGTGTCTTTCCTCATGCTGTATTTAGTGGCCTTCAATAAGATTTGCCCTGCTGGGAAAGGATACTATCTCCAAAGCATAACAGAAACCGTGGCCTTGCCTCCCATCATCTTCCATCGTGAGTGTTTGAATTTACATCGGTTCTCCTGGAGCTCGTCAGAAGTTTTCATACCGTCACGGGAAGGAGTTTTAGGCTGATGTTGCTCTTTGGGATTTATTTGAACCGTTCTGTTTCTTGGGTGGAATAATTTAGTGTCAAACACAAATTGCATGTGCGAGTTTAAATGTTTGATGGTCATAATGACACAAGTCGGTTCAAATATGTACGTACTTTGTTTTTGAAGCCATCAACTAGCTTCTGCTGGGCATTCAGCCACTTTTCTAAGTAGAATTGGTAGAGCTTATTTAAATTGGTTCCTTTTTCTGACGTGGAAGTCAATTTCTAATTTTAAGACGCATAAATTCAGAGAGGTGAAGATAAAAACTTTCCAAAAGGTTGATTTTAGTTTGGTTTATCAATAAAAAAAAAAGAGTTGTTCTGATGTGTTCTTGGAATCGCTGACCAGTTTTAACACGTAACTGTATCAAAGTTTCACCAGTGTGTTTCACAGGAAAGCAAATTTCAAATATCTGTCCAATGAGACTCTGCCAACCTAGAAGGAAGTTTTCGTTTTATAATCTTTAAACAAGACGGTGATCCTAAACAGACATGAAAAGTGCTCTCAGAACGGATACAACAAGTTGTGGCCTTACCGTATCGAAAACTTAAAATAAGCTCTACACCTTCTAGAAAGAAGTGTGGTTAAATATCCAGCTAAATTATTGCCAGCAACATTACAGACATTAAATGTGTGTGTGTTGCATCATCATCCCATCCTAAAAGAAGAACAAAAGTGTAATTAAAAGGCCAGTGTCAACATTATGTTCCTACCCATGACGGACGTATGTAAAGTTCTGACCAGCACCGTTCATATGTCCGACATCTCTGCTTTGTAAGCCTTTAATCCTGTTATTAGAGGTTCATCGTTTTAACCTCTTTCTACCGCTTTTCCTTTCAGCACCACTTGTGACGGTAAGATTTTGTTTCTATTTGTAGATGTAGCTTTTTCTTTTGCTGTCATGAAATATTTCCCCCCTCCTGTGATCAGGAGAAGCCCCCGGAGCCGACCACGGCGCAGCAGACTTCTGTCAGCACCACCCGACCGCGAGTGCCTGGTAAGCGCTCCCCCCTTTCGCAAAGAAAGTTAGACGTGCTGCAAGTAACGTTTGAACGTCTCGAGTTACTAAATGTACCGTAAGCTGCCACATTGAGGGGAATGTTTCTTTCTTGCTGCTAACTGACAGAAGATTGCAAAGAAATGTTGCCTCTGTGGAGTACAAAGACCAAAGATCAACATGTCATGGTTGCTGGTTCATTTCTCCTCTGTTGGATCCACAGTTGTTAAACCCACTCCTCCGCCAATCGTCCGAATCCCCCCAGGCAATGACCCCTTCGAAATAGACCCTAAAGGTAAACGTGAGTTTAACACCAGTCCAGCACAAGAGTTGCTTCTTATTTATTTATTCTCTTCTCAACACGAGCTGGTTCATGTTTCACTCGCCTGAAAACTGGGAAATCCAGCGCTCCGCAAACGCACCCAGAGTGAGAGGCGGTAACCATGGCGAGCTTCGCCTCCGTCTCTCACAGATGACATGTTGACTTCCTGCTTGCAGAAAATACCATTAATGATAACTCTTGTGTTTTTTTTATAGTTTTTTTTTTACCTCACATTTCCAAAACCGTCGTTTAACATGAAGCTAATTTTCCTGCATGTCTTTTGTAGTTAGCTGATGCTTTTGGTCGCTGTGCATGTTATGTGACATCAAACACGAAGCATGAACCAGCCTGACGGCTTCGTTCACACACATTGTGTGTTAGGAAAGCTGCCACAACTACAGTTTTCCTTTTTGCTAAACATTTCAAGTAAGATAAACAAATGCCAAATCTGATCACTCCAATCTGATCCAATTTGTGTGATTACCTTTCATTCATACTGACATTTTCAGTGGTGCCTCTTAATTGCAGTTATGTGAAAGTGAAAATATCAATAAGATATAATTATACCTCTTGAACTTTTCCACTTTTTGTCCTGTCACAGCTACAAACATCAATGTAATTATTGGTTGTTGTTTTTTAAGTGCATCATTGTGAAGCAGGAAAATTGTTTTTCTATTTTTTATATAAGCTTTTCATTCGATGGCAATCTGTGTTGGATTATTGTACTATTTCTAGGAGACAGAACTTCCAGGTGGTGTTCATAGTTTTTTAGACATCACACTTCTTTTTGCCTTGCAGTTTTTTCTGTTCCTAATGTCACTACAACATATTGCCATAGACATAGAGAGGAGTAAAAATATGTACAACTCCTAAAAAAACTGAAAGAGAACCGTTGATAAGAGTGATGGCAAAGTATAATTCTCGTTTCAATGTTTTTGCATTGCTCTGTATACACACACATAGATGTATTGAATTAACACCAGTGGTCTCTTTTCTCTACCCTTGAAGCGGAGACAGATAAGTGCGGCCTGAGCAGAGGCATTTGTGGTCATGGGAAGTGCGAGAACAGCCCGAACGGCCACATCTGTCACTGTTTCCCCGGCTACCGTCTCAACCTGCAGAGGAACATCTGTGAGGGTAAGAGACGCCGGGAGAGAAAAACCAAGCAAAATTTAACTTATTTTCTCTTGCTGCTCCTGACAAAAGAGGGAAAATGTTGGGTTGCTGAAAAATTACATTTTGGACAAAAAGTGAATTTTCTCTCAAATCTTCTTACTAAACAACAACAGTGAATATTTTGACATTAAATTGGTTCTAGGATCACGATTTTAGACCAGGTTTTATTATATTAAATAAATATACAAACACTCACCGTACCTTGTGCAATAAATATTTTAAGTAAGTGGTCTGCAGGTAGCAATTTAGCATATTATATTGCTTGAAAATCACCCATAATTTTGTGTTTATTTATTTGAGAATCAAGGAATTTAGAGCTAGAAATATGTTTAACTTAACCACCTGTTAGTAAATGTCATTAAACTTACTTAATACCTGAGCACAAGCAGAGACATGCAGACATGACTTTCACTACTTTAACTTTATTCCAGGTTAATGAGTTTTCCTGTGGAGACTTGCTTACTATTTTTTTTATTTGTGGTTTTATTTAAATCTTTTAGGAATTAGATTGTGAATGAAAGACAGATCTCCACGGAGGCCAGGCAGGTACCTGCAAGTCTGTGCAGACCTCACGTAACCTTTGCATTTTCATTATCGGTGCCCTAATTCCTCTGCTGAGCTGTGGGCACAATCTTTGAAAAGAGCAGAGATGCGCTGCTTATCACACGCTCCAATCCAGACAAAATGTGCTCTGAGATTGCAGTTTCCCACTAATTGTTTTGAATATTCAGCACCACTTTTATTAACTTCTTGATTGCGTTTCACACCGACTTCGCGTTCTCTCCTTTCCCAGACGATAATGAATGTGACGCGGAGCCGTGTGGCCACGGCAGAGGCCGTTGCGTCAACACAGAGGGAGCGTACAAGTGCCAGTGTCGCCCGGGTTATAAGCACATGGTGCAGCACGGGCGACTGAAGTGCATAGGTAAAATAATCCAGAGCGGCTCTGAGTTTTGTTTTTTGTTTTTCTCCTCTGCATGCTGTCAGATCTGACTGTGACGTTTGTGTTGTTCTACAGATGTAAACGAATGCCACAAACCAGATATCTGCGGCGTCGGAGGCCTCTGTGTCAACCTGCCTGGCTCCTATAAATGCGAGTGTCAAATCGGCTTCAGAAGCAAGTCCCACCGTTATCCGGCCTGTGAAGGTGCAAACACAGTTTCACTTTGACATTATGGACGGCGATGTATATCATCTAACAATCTGGGTAATAATCCCTCTGTTCATCCTGAAATAAGAAGCATAAATCTGGTCTTTTTCCAGACATAAACGAGTGTTTGAGTCCGGATGCTTGTCTGAACGAGCAGTGTGAAAACACACCGGGCTCGTATGAGTGCGTGCCGTGTCTACCCGGCTATGAGGCCCATGCTGGCACATGCTATGGTGAGTGTTTATTTTTATTTAAAATGTCACATGATACTTAGAATAGATGCAGTTACCAGGGTAAGGAGACAGAGGCAATGTGGATAAACAATGCAAAAGCTCAAAATCTTACCAAGTTTTTCTGGTCTGGTTTCTTGAAATAAAACAAAACAATTTTTTTTTAGCAAGATAGAAGAGCTTATTTTTAGTCAATAATTTCTTAATATTGTTAAAAAGTGCTAGTTACTGTTACATTGTCATCAATATAAAGGAATTTCTGACTTTAAACAAGTTCCTATATTTTGCTGAAAAGTTACTAATAAGTTATTTTTGTCTTAGTTCAAGTACACCAAGATTTTTGCGCTAGATACCAGAAAGATTTTGTGTTTTTGCAGTGGAAATTATAAGGATTTCTGTTCTTAAGGTATATTGCTGCTGTAGTGATAAAAAGGAATCAGTTAAAATCCCATGTTTGACCTTTTCTTCAGACATTAATGAGTGTCAGAAGCCTGGCATCTGTCCCAACGGGCGCTGCGAGAACCTCCCTGGTACTTACCGATGCCTCTGCAACGAGGGCTTCCTTCACTCTGCACACAGCAAAAGCTGCAGTGGTAAGAAGTAGAAAATCTGACTTTTGCAAAGAATTAGTTTTTTTTTTTTTTTTTTAAATGAGAAAATACATTCTTCTGGTTTAAACCATTTCATTTACAAATGAAAAAAAATCTTTTCTGCAGACATTGACGAGTGTGCGGACGTTCGACTGTGTGCTTACGGCCGCTGCATCAACACAGAAGGCTCCTTCAAGTGCCAGTGCTACCCAGGCTACCAGCGCACACAGGAGGGCAGCCACTGCGAAGGTGCAGATTACACCAAAATAACTTTGGTTTGGTTTTATTCACATTAACTAGGCAAGGTGACATCTTCAAGCACAATTCAGGTTATTGTGGTGTCTGCACAAGATTTTTGGTAAAATATATACCACAATTAATTGTTTTTGTCTATAGCAAGAAGTAAACAATTTATGAAGCCTAATGTAATATTAGTAATGTTGCACAATATATTGCTGTAGCATAAAGGACTTCCAGGATCACTTCCAGCAACAGAAAGAGCTTGTTTTCCTCTTAAACTCAGGGAATATTGCATTGATGGTAATGATAACATTTATTTGCTTTTGTTTTGGTTTTCATTCAAAGATATAAAAATAACATCAACTGACTTTATTTTATGCATATTTTATGTTGAATGTTGCACCTTCTTGTTGTTCTGCTGTAATTTCAGTAAATATAACTAGAAGACATCATAAGCTGATGCACTTCTTGTGTACTTATTAGATGAAATAAGTCATTTTTTGTATGCACATTACTATGTTTTACATCTAAACAAAATTATGCTTGAAATTTGGCATTTGCATACTAGGAAACTAATATTTCTAAATGTGTACATAAAGTGTACAATTTCACGTATTTTAGTGTTTTCTCTCTGAGATAAAAAAGAAGTTGAGATCCAGTTGCTGAAAAGGTTTCAGAGACATGAACTGGTGTGGAAATTTGAATAAAAATGTTCCTCTGCTGTCTTCTCAGACATTAATGAGTGTGAGAGGCCGTCGAGCTGCCTGAGGGGCCGCTGCATCAACAGCATGGGCTCGTACCACTGCGAGTGCCAGAAGGGCTACAAACTGGTTGGAGGCAGGGAATGCCAAGGTCTGTATCTCCTTCTGAAAGGATGTAAACATTTTGATTTTTTTTTTTTTTTTTTTTGTATCCGTTTTCCTTTATTTATCACAAATCGTTTTGAATTTTAGAGATTTTTATTTTTGTGCTTCGTCTCCGGGATTTTCTAGAGCACATTTTGCGACGGTTAGGACTGAAATTCAAATAATCAGTACAACCTTTGTGATTTCCCTTTCAGACATAGACGAATGTGCTGCAGACAGGAACCTCTGCCAACCCTACGGCTCATGTGAGAACAGACTGGGCTCCTACATGTGTGTCTGCAATCACGGCTATGCCCTCTCAGAGGACAGACACAGCTGCGAAGGTACGTCGTCTGTCATTCTAGATGAACCACATTCATCTAGTGAACAGAACACTGAAACCTTCTAAATCCCAAAAGACTTTTTAGCATCATTTTTACAGATATCTAATAATTATTCGCTTCAAACTTTGCATTTCTACTTGCAGCGGTTCGAATCGTGACGGATGAGAAGAAGGAGTGTTACCTGAACCTCGACGACACGGTGTTCTGCGACAGCGTCCTGGCCATCAACGTCACCAAGCAGGAGTGCTGCTGCTCCATCGGTGTGGGATGGGGAGATCACTGTGAGATCCACCCCTGCCCCGTCTCCCACTCAGGTACCACAGAGGACGTAAATAGCAGAACCACTGTTTACGTTCATAATTCTGTTCAAAGTTTTGCTTTTAAAACTCTTTTTTTTTTTCCCTCCAATGCAGCAGAGTTCCACTTCCTCTGTCCACACGGACAAGGTTTCTACGGTGAACAAAGACTCCAGTACAGCCTGCCCGCCTACCACGGTGTGTTCATTTAAGTTATAATACTATATAATATGCAAACGTCACTAACCGTGCAAATTTAAAGCAACAATTCAGTTTGTGTTTAACATAAAGAATGGAAAAAGATCTAAGAACAGTGCAGAAAATACATTTTTAGCACTTGTAGCCTTAGCTGCAAACTGTTAGCAAGGTTAGCATTACTGAAAGAAAGTCATTTCTTTTCTTCTTTTCTGTCGTCATTTCCGAATACAGCATGTTCCATGACAGATGGTGAATGTTTACAGGATAAAGCAGACACTTTGTTGTTGAACTCTGTGCATCCTTCCTTTTGTCAGCTGAAAGTATTGCTCTCTCTCGCTCTTTCACAGAAGGAATTGGCTACATGCAGGACTCAACATGTAGAAAATATATATATTTTTAAAAGATTCTTACATCTATGTAGTTCTTTTAACTTTTGATTGTTTTTTTTTTTTTACTTGTTCAAATAACTTTAATCAGTATGTAGTGGTCAACAAAAGAGAAAAAGATTCATTTATTGAGCTTACAACCAGGCGATTCTAGCTAATTTAAGCTAATTCAGCATCTGAAGGGGGGTTTTATAACTGCGAAGAGATCAAACCTTCTGCAGAATAACAATATTTAGTTTTTTGTCTGCAGATATTGATGAGTGTACTCTGTTTGCTGAGGAAATCTGCAAAAGAGGCCGTTGTGAAAACACACTGCGAGGTTATGAGTGCTACTGTCAACAAGGCTTTTATTATGACAGCAACCTTCTTGAGTGCATTGGTATGTAGTATCATGAAATTGTGAATAATTTCTGCATGTAGGACTTTCCAGACCCTTTAGTTCTTGTTTCATGTCTTCATATTTGCTCTCAGATGTCAATGAATGCCACGACGAGTCTCTCTGCACCAACGGTCGGTGTGTCAATACTGACGGGGGCTTTTATTGCATCTGTGACCGGCCCTGGATCCCCGACTCCAGCAGGAAAAAGTGTGTGATGCCAACAGTTGCTGGTGAGTTAAAGTATCTCCCTTTCCATGGCTGAAACCACCTTTTTCCTAGCTTCTTCTTTGATAACCTTGAACTCTTAACTTTGTTGTGCAGATGTCAATGAGTGTGACAACCCAGGAAACTGTAAGAATGGCTTATGTGTGAACACAGTGGGTTCTTACTACTGCATTTGCTCTCCGCCCTGGACGCTGGCTGTGGACCGAAACAGCTGCGTGACTCTCGAGGAGCAGGCTGGTGAGTTCTCATTTGTCTGTCTTTGAAATCACTGATATTTCCATCCAAAACACCCAATTGGAGAAGTGTGTTTCAGCAAATACGCACTATGGTATAGAATTATTAGTAACTAAAGAGAAGTAGCAGCAGACATGCACCCACTAAATTTTCATTACTAATTTCTAATCTCCAGTTTTATTAAAGCTCTGACTTGGCTGCAGAAACTGATTTTATTCATATTCATTCATACGGCACCCATTGTTTTCTCAAGGCATTTATTCCACCAAGTATTCAGATTGTTTGGGAGCAATAATGTATAAAACAACAGCATTTAAGTTATTATTTCCTTCCAGTCATGATGCAGGACTTCACAGATATTTTTTAGAATATTTCTGTTGTCTTTAGCGTTCTTTGAAGAATAATTTTCCGTCCACCCTGCAGTGGGTGAACTGAACTGTTAGCATTAGCATAGAAGCAGTCTCCATGTTTATAGTTGACAGGATGTAGATAGTTTCTCTAGCTGCTTTGAAAGGACTAAAATACATTTAAATGCAGCATTTTTCATGACAGGTAGAGGTTAAAAGCTCGGCAGGAATAAAGCTGAGCAACCTTAAAGTACTTTGTTCAGACTTTGCTCTCTCTCTCTCTCACGGAAATAAACCTCAGATTTATCTTGGATAAAATCTTTTGCACATCTGCCTAGTCTTACTTCTTCTTTAGACATTACTGGCATGAAGAAGCTAACTGAGTCTTCCTGACTCAGAACTGAGTCGAAAAAATGTGAGACATTTGTGTTTTCAGCAAGATCATCCCAGTCTTTGGCCAGTTTCTCGTTGTGTCTCAAAGTTGAACTTGCAGCACAAAATGTTTGTTTTTCTCAGCAGTGTTTTTGCTTTATGTGGAAAGAATGGGTTTCCTGTCAAAGTGGTCCTATTTAGAGAATTTACTGTCAATGTCTGGCTCAGTATCTTAGCCTGCATCATGCTGTGTGTTTGACCAATGGAAAAGTTAACTCTCAAACTTTTCCACTCAAACTTTTGCACTTTGGTCGCCAAGAAAGATTATTTCTATTTTAATATAAAAAGTTTGTTGAGTCTCCCTCCTGTCCAGTCACCTCTATGGCATTTTGCACTTGTTACTTACATTTTTTATTCCATCTTTCATTACATTACATACTTTGTTTCAATTTGTACCCGCCTTGACCTCAGATGATTTAAAGACATTTTTTGTAATCTATTTATTGTCTTTTGCAGAGAAATTGTAGGTATATGACCCCAATACATCTACTAACAAGAAGTTTACTCACGTCTCGTAGATAGATTTGGATAGCCTTAATTATGTGGCTTTCCTCTGGTTTTTGATCTACATATTAAAATTGGCAACCAGAATTTTAAAGCTTAGACAGATTTCTGAATGAAATTAATAAGGGAAGCTAAACCAGTTTTCAGTAAATCATAATTAAGCAGATAAAGAAGAACATTTTAAATGCTATTTTAAAAAGTCCCAAACCCTCAGTGATTTCTAGCATCACAGTTACTATAAATATACATCAGATGCATGGTTTCCTCTAGAAAACTTGCTAAGCCCGGTGCTCGTGGCGATGGCCAGTCATCCAGCTGGCTGCCATGTTTTTGAGTTAAAAAAATGCTTAAAGTTGACAGGAAATTTTGAAAATATCACTTGATAGTTATGTGTTGTTGGAAGATTGAAGGATTAATATCTGAACACCAACTATAAAGTGTTAAAAATAGGCAACAATTTAAAGAAAAAACTAAAATAAATAAACTATGATAAGCCTGGAGGGGGCACAAGAAAAGCCTGGTGGCCCGCCAGGCTTATAATACACTGTGGGAAGGAAAGCCATATGGGAATTAAGGGCAGTTAAAGTCCATCCAGATGCTCAAACATATCATTACTACATGGAAAGTAAATGCATAACATAATGGATCACATATGACAAACATAATGCCCTTCCAAATATTGCGTCCAAATTGTCCTTTGCCATTGCATGCACTGATATTGTGATGATTGCAATCTAAAAATCTGTCCAGCTCTTCTCTAAGTGTACGAATGATGATGATATAAAATATCTGGAACTGAAACTGATAATGAAGTCAGTTGTGACAGGTAAAGCCAATACATTACCTGATGCATATTGCTGAAATGTAGTCAACAATCAGGCCAAAAGCTAACTCTGTCCCCACAATATGCAGCTATGTTCCTGTAAACATGTCTTGGAAGATGCATACATGCTATCAGGTGCAAAAATAGGTTAATAAAATAGAAACATTTGCCCAAATTTGAATGTTTTGAACTTAAAAGCAAATGTCTTCTCAACTGGTGTCTGCTGACCACAGCAGTCTAGAAGTGCTAAATGTATGAGAGTGAATTTGTATCAAAAGTATCCACAACCTCATCAGCAAATTTTTTTGTCAAATGGAGATATGTTAACAGATTTGTGTAAGTGAAGATTTTTTGCATAATATACAAAACAATAGCTAAATAATTTCAAAATCATACATGAAAAGCCTTGTGTTCACGTTTTAGCTCCTAATGATAAAATCCAAATGGTGTCAAAGAGGCATCAACAAACCAAACAATGACTTGAACTTACAGACACAAAACAGGAGAGACAGAATGTAAAAATATAAACAATGTAAATCCAGCTTTGTTTTTCTTTTTCTTAGTCCAATAAATTGAGTGTAAAAGTATTCACAGCCTTGCATTAACAAGAATTTACTCTTCTGTCATTATGAAAACTACCAGCTTCCTCACGTGAGCTTCTGTGGTTTAAAAATAGTAAATAATGTTAAACAGTGAGGGATCTTTTGTTTCTACAAGTCAGCAGACTGATGATAGTCAATAGTGTGCCAATTATTAATAAATAGTACATATCCTCAAGCCATTCATCAGTGAATAAATGAATTAACATGTCTACTGTCGGAGAAACTCTGTTCCTGCACAGACAGAAAGTTCTCCATGTGAACTACTAAAAGTTCACTACTTTTAGTGGTGTCTAATCCTCTGAGTAGTTAGTCTGTAGACAGGTAGGTCAACGTGAAGCGGTTCCATCTAGCAGGTCTGGCTGGGAACGATAACTGGTTTCTGCCTGGATACATTCATTTTGCTTGAGCTAACTTTGTAACTGTTGCAGCCGCAGTATGTAGAAAACCCAAGTGAAGCTTTAGGATGTTTACAGGCCCAGTCTGCAGATGAATGTGCCACAGTCGGGTCATGTGTAATTACCTGAAACCCGATACTGTGACGCACACACAGAGGAGATAAATATGGCTTAGTTATGACAGTCAGATAAAATTGAAGGCCTCAAAGTAACATGGTTTCTTTGACTTCCAGTTTGGGACGATAACTGTAGCGATGCAATAATGTGGGCGGATGTGAGAAAGTATGCTTTGTGAATGTGATGTAGACTCTCTTTCTCTAAATTATTTTTTGTTCACATCACACTTTGTTTCTTCAAACTAGAAGAAAATGTTGTAATAATGATTACAAGGAGGCTTCAACCTCATAAACTTGACCATATGTTTATGCTCATAAACAGAATGCTTTGCCCCCTAGAGATTTTTTATTTTCTTAGCTAAATTTCAGCAGCTTCTTCTGGAACCAAACTCTCATTTTTAACTTCATTGATATCAGTTACCCCTTTTTTCTTCTTCTTCTTTTATTTTAACCACAGGCCAGCTGCAAGATTGTGCAATCTCCCTAAGCAGAATGGTTCACGTAGTAAAAAAAAAAACTAACAGAAACCACATGTGGCTCAAAGACATTATTTACACCACAGTTTTATCTAAACCAGTCGAGTATCACAGCTGTAAAAACTGTTTATGAATCTAATCGGTGATCAACTAATCCACTTTATTTCAACCTGTTTTTTAGTTTTACTGTTGTCCAATCTCTAGACCGAGAGATGCACCTCACACACCGGCCTTAACAATTAGCTTAGGGATAAACGAGCACACGGTTAATGTCTAAAAAAGATTCCCAAATGGAGCATTTACCGCAGGGAAGAATTTGTTCTGCATTTTGTGGTGAGACGAAAGCCTGAGTCGACCACCTGCAGACTAAGCTCTGGCCCAGAAGCAGATGTTCATACTGTAACCAGTGTCTGTGGTGCCCTTTGCAGATGTGAATGAGTGCCAGGACCCCTCGTACTGTAAGAATGGGAGGTGTGAGAACACGCCCGGCTCCTTTCACTGTTTTTGCGACCCTCCCCTCACCTTCAGCGCGGCGCTGAAGCAGTGCGTCTATGACGGTGGGTAGAACTAGCTTGCCTTACCGCTCAGTGTGACACTCTTGTTTTCCATTGCAGTTCCTCCCAAGCCTTGCCCTGTCCAGGCTGTTTTTAGGAAGATGTTTCTAGCTTTGAACTAATATTACTTTCGTGTTGTAAGCATGTTTGGTCTTAGAAAGTGATTAATACACTGCCAAACAGACGCTACATGCACTCATGTCGTGTTATGAGCTTCTAATCATGCATTTAAACTGTCCTGACGACACAACACACATCTGTAATAATGTATCAGTGTTTGATCTTAGCTGAGGTCAGGGTTTTCCAAAAGCTTTATACGTGTTCCGGCTAGTCCAAAACCAGTTTCAATGTGTGTTTGTAATGCTAATGCACCCCCACAGCATGATGCTGCTACCACCATGCTTAACAGCTTAGTCATTTTTTTGTTTGTTTTTTAAAAGATTTACTTTCACTCCTGCAGCCAAGAAGCTTAACGCAATCAGCTTGCTGAGTCAGAATTAAACAAGAAGTTCATTGGTAACTTCTCTACAAAGTCGACAAAACCTTAATATTTATCCATACAGAATAATCAATGTAACCACTTATCATTTATTTAGTATTTCTCTAACAAGGAAATCTATTTAATTTTTTTCCCCCAGAGAGCTCTGCCCAGGAATTCACACAATTGAATGAAATATTACTAAAACTATAACTATTATTTCACAGTTTAATAATGGTAGCAGCTGCGACAGGATTTTCTAATGACACAAAATGTCTTTAAACCTGCAGGCTGTTGAGCAGTAGCAAATATTTTGTGAACCACGTCATGCTGTAATCAGCTTCACTTATTTACTATTAAATATAAAACTTTTTAAAAAGCCGTTTCTGTCTTTATATCGTGACAGTGAGTCTTTATTATCTTTTGTTCATTTACGATGCAAAAACAAGTCATTGTGGCTGCTTTTGCTTTACAAATTAGTGTGAAATGTGTAATTTTAGGAATCCGAAACGATGTTTTTACTCACACTGATTAAATATTTTAGGGAATAAAGAAACAATATTTATTTATCTTTTTAAAAACAGCTAATGTATTCTTACGATTTGTTTTTATGAGTTGTCTGAAAGTCATAAACCTTTTTGTTTTTTAAATCGTTCCCATCTATATAATGATTTCAGAACAATTTACTGGTTTTGCTCGTTGCATGTGCTAATATGACCCGATTCACCCAACCATAACAAGCATTTACAGAGAATAAAACTGGCTTTACTTTCGTTGCTCCACTGATTTTTATTGTATTATTTTTCGCACACATTGCCCTCTACACTTTGTAAAAAGCCTTGACGTGTATTCATCTTATCTCTCATATAACATTTGGAAAGTTCCAGCCTTTAATTTGAGTAAATTTATTTAGTGGTAGAAAAAAAAATTGTATTTGCTCTTACAAAAAACCTCCAGTATTTCCAAAAAAAATTATATTTAACTAAAGTGTTTTTGTTAACTTCATACTGCAATTGACATTTTTGATCACAGCATTTGCACTGTCGTTTTTTTTTTTGTGTGTGGCCCATTCCTCTTTAAAATGGGAAACCCAAGAGAACATGCCACAGAAGTATCACAAATACATCAGTCAGAAATAAATGCTCTTCTAAACCTTTGATCATTTTGTTGTTGTTGTTGTTATTCCATGTTTAAAACATGAAACCTGTTCACGCGAATGCATAAAAGTAAAATAAAAATACACCATAAGTCTCCAAAGTTACATCAGGAAAATGTATCAACACAAAATTTGTTTTCATATTGATTGATTTTCTGACAAGCTCTTAATTTTGGCTTCCCTAATATCATTTCTACTCGTATTAGATTAACTTTTGCTTAAATCAGACTTTCATTATTTTGTTGGGCAGAACTACATCACTTCACTTCATTATGGCAGTTCTGCAGAATCTGCCTTTCTCTTCAAATTCACACAGATTACTTTCTAGATTTTGTTGATAATAATACATGACACACTCAATGGCACTTTTACAAAAAAAAAATGATTTGCTGGACTATGACCCATACTACTACTAAAGTGAAAGTAATAAACATTAAAAAGCACGTATATCTCTCCCTTATTTTTGATCTAGATCGTACTGCAGCCCACAAAGACGTGTGTTTCGAGCGGGTTGATGAGGGTCTCATCTGCAGTCAGCCCATCGACAAAGTGGTGACTTACTCTGAGTGTTGCTGTCACTACGGCCACGGCTGGGGGCCAGAATGCAACACCTGCCCTCCCAGAAATTTGGGTGAGCTTCCTACAGGATCAGTTTGATCTTTGATTTTATTTCCCCCTCACTCCCCTCCCCCCCTGCTTTCCACCAACACACTTCTTTGTTTTCTGTTCAGAAATGTTCAGTATTCTTTGTAAGATGCAACACGAGACCGAGTCGGATGGGGATCAGGATTTTCTGGCAGCTTTCGCAAACTACAACCCAGGTGAAATCATACTCTCTATTTGTTGTCTCCTTACTGTTTTGCCATCTAATATGTGATATTTACTCCTCGGTGTCTAATGTTTATGTTTTTTTTGCTAAAAGGTGACAGTTCAGAGGAGGATTCGGACGAATGTAGCTGTGCAAATGGCCGCTGCGTCCGCTCATACCTGGGTACCATGTGTGAATGTAACACAGGCTTTAGGCTAGACCACTCCCGTGCCCGCTGTATAGGTTCGTGTGTACATACGCATACAAAATAAAAATAAAAATGCAATAATGTGTGTACAGTGGCATACAAAAGTGTCATTTTTCCTTTTGCCATGTGACAACCATATACTTACAGGTTTGCATTTATAATGCTGAGGCTTTCATATTCATTCTTAAATTAAATTACCTTTACATGGACTCTGTTTTACTGACTGGTGGTTGTACTGGATTTTATATTCTAAACATGGAAAATACCTTTGCAAGTCACTGTACATCTCTTTACACTTTGCCCTACAGTTTCTGGTTCTGTTTGTCGGCTTGTCCTGACTGACGCTCGTTTGTGTCTTCCAGACATCGACGAGTGCGCGGAGCCGGGCCCACGCACCAGCCCCTGCAAGAACGCTCGCTGCGTGAACACTTTCGGCTCGTACAAGTGCTTCTGCAAACACGGCTTCATGGCCTCGCGCCGGCAAAACGTATGCGTGCGCCGCAGAACTCAGTAAGGTCACCTGGACGGCGTACGTACACGCAGTCTAACACCAACCCAGCGGACATGCCGTCGCACACCTCCATGTTTTTGTGTGGCTGCGTGAGCCACTGCAGACCTGAAAACACGGTTCGCCGTCGGAGAAACGTCTTCGCCGAGGCCGATCTGAAATGTACGAAACGTTCTCGTTCCCGCCAATTCACTTAAAAAAAAAAGTTATCGAATCACATTAGGATATTTGTTTATTGGTTAATTTTTTTGTAATTATTGTTTTCTAAACTGTTTTTTAGATTAATATNAAAGTGTATATTTTTGTGANTTTTGTTTTGCTGACACCCCCCACTTTGCCACATTGTTTTAATCACTGTTGGAGCTTGAAGACGAGCTCTAGTTTTAAAAAAAAAGAAATTCATCTCAAAGATCTCAAAGAATTTTTTTACATTCCCCTGTAAAACCCACATCCTGACATGTTTAATAATAATACATTACCTGAAGTGTATTTTCTACAGTAATTATTACACATTGTTTAAATTGTGTTTTTTGTACAGTTTGTTCTGTGGAATGACCCCTTTGCTATTTTATTTGTTGATGTAAAGTATGAAAAAAAAATTTTGGGATTTTGCTATCGTTTGACAAGCGCACCAAAGTGGACTTTGCAGAAAAGGAGAGGTTGAGACGCAGTGGGAGTGTAGTGGAAAATATTTGCGAAATGTACCTTCTGGGAAAAGCCATTATAATTGCTGAATCAAATTATTAGCCAAAGAAGTTGTTGGGAAGAGAGAAATTTAATTAAAAAGTCACTTTTAATACGTGTGTATGATTTTTGTTGTGTTTAGGATTAGACGCTCTAAAAATAAGCGCTTTCAAACTCTTATTATCCACTCTGGATAATTTTGCACAAGTGCAAATTACAGCCTATAAAGAAAATAATCAATAAATATGGAACTATCAATATAAATTAAGAGTAAAAAAACACATGCCACATGGTAGGAATTGAAACTTTATTTTGATTTATGAAAGTCATGTTTAATTTAAAGTACTTTTTCAAAAATGTTCAGTATGAGTTTTTGCCGTTGCGCTACAAGATGTCTTTAATTTTAGACGTTTCTAAGGTGCCGAATAAACATAACAGCATGTATGTTCGATAATTTCATTTTCCAAGATTTCCACTTGAGAATTATTCAAGCCAATAAATTAAAATCAAACAGAATATTCAGAGCAGAAACTGAAAATAGATAACAAATGATTGGATAGGAACAAAATGGGAGCCGATAGATTGATGAGGAGGCAGACCATGATGTGCCGATCAGTTTCATATTGATGCCATCTTGTGAATTGTTTGTGTTACTACAATTCCTAAATCTAATCTAGTAAACCGAATGTTTCGGACTTTACAGGAAAAGTCAACAGCAGACGTACATCGGATTATGGTAATCAGAACCTTTGTTTCTGAATCAAGCCTGATTTAATGAAACGTTTGACTCAAGCAGCAGGAGAACGGGGTTCAGACAATTTTACAGGTCATCACTTTTCCTCACTGGACTTTCTGGAGTCATCGGGCCATTTCAGGAGCCATTGTTGAAAGTGGATACAAAATTTATGAGTTTTAAACACATTTCCAAAATAGTCAGGTCCTGCATAAATCTGACAGTTGAGTAATCCTTGGTTGGATGGATAGATCTATGAATTTACAACAATATTATACTATCAAAATAGCCTCTAAATAGAAGAAGTGAGATGAAAACATAATTTGTAACACCTAAGAAGTGCATATGGCCACATTTATGCATAAGCACATAATGCAAAACAAATCAAATCAAAGCCACTAAAAGGAAAAACTAGCTCCTGTTGCAGGGTTTCCCTTAGTGTATTATAAGCCTGGCGGGCCACCAGGCTTTACCTGTGCCCCCACCATTGCGTATTTATTTATTTATTTTTTTAAATGTTTGCATTTTTTTTTTAAGACTGTATAGTTGGGGTTTAGGTATTAATCTTCCAATAACACATAATTATTAAGGGATATTTAAAAAATTTCCTGTCAACTTTAAACATTTTTTAACTCAAAAACTTGACAGCGTATTGGATGAATGACTGCCCTAGCACCAACCACCGGGCTTAACAAGTTTTCTGGAGGAAACCTTGTGTTCAAATACAGGAACATCAAATTATCCAACACAAAGAAGAAATATTTATTTGACATTTCCTTGCTAATTTTTTCTGGTTTGTTTTCTTTGACATTTCCTTGGTAATTTTTTCTGGTTTGTTTTCTCTTTGACTTTTTCCATTTTGCATTATTCATTGCAATTTGATTGAAGGGTCTCCATTAAAAAGAAGAAGCACGAGGATGCCGACAGAATGTGAAAACAAACATTGGAGCGTTCCCAGGATGAGAAGGCTGACGGTAAACAGCTGACACAGGATCTGACTGTCTGAAGCAGCGTCTAACTCTGACTGAGAGACAGATTTTTCCTGTACTAAACAGGACCAATGAGAGCAAACACAATAAGTCATTTCACAATCAGCTCCTTAGTTTATATTCACTTATTTACTTTGATATAATTGGGTCTTTCACATAACAATCTTAGTCTGTGTTAAAAAGTCCCTCAAAACCTTAAAATTTACAAATAGTTCACCATCAGACATTACATTGAGACCTGAACATAACTTTACACAAAAAAAGAAATTATTCAAGTGAAGAAGCGTCTAGATTCACAGTGCACGATATTCATATGTTGTTCTAACAAGTAAAATGTGCATTTGTTTTAAATCACTCCCTCAATGAAGTCCAGTGCAGCCGGTTGTCTTTTGAAAGTCACCCAATTAGGAAAATGAATCCACCCGAGTATAAATAAAGATGTGCCAAAAACTTAGGAGTTTGTTAGCGAATATTTAGTTATTTGTAAGCTTATTGCTTAATACAAGCAATAAAAGTGACGCATATGAAAGAATCTCTCTGGTCAGATGACACAAATTTAATTCTTTGGTTTCATAAAAAAAGAAAAAAAATGTTAATGCAATTTATCTCAAGATAAATAAAAATAGATGTTGCCATTTTCAAAATGGGCCAAAAAAGAGTAGCAAGCATTATCCACTAGAGGGAGCTGCTGGTTAGTTTGTGCAGGACAGAGATTTCCTGTGATCCCTAACGCTTTCATAACCAACATTCCTCCTGACAGCGAGATAAGATGGAGCCAAATATGTTTTATTGCTCCATTTCACATAATTTTGGTTCACTGGGTACCATAATGGTTTTTATTTCTGTGAAATAGAAACTGGAGGACAGACAGTGAGCTTGACTTTTGTTTTGCTGATTTAAAAAAAAAAGAGGTGTCATGAATACCAACCTCTAATGGATGGTCCTCCTCAATCTGTTAGATTAAGCGAGTCACACCACATGAGAGTGGTGCCTCAGCTTCTTGCTGTCCTGGTTTCATTCTGTCTAATAATTATATCTGTTTAAAACTGGAAGTGTAGGGTGACCTACAGCAACTAGTTTAGGGAGAGAGAAAAAGAAACAGGACAGGAGAGTCAGGGGATGAGAAAAAGAACCAAAACAGAAATAGCATACTTGTCCTTGGGAGACGACTCAAAAAGTTGATGTTGAGGATATAAATATCTTGAAATGGGTCACAGTGACCGGAGTATAACCCTCTGGGTGATGGCAGTAGACTGCAGCTACTAAACTTTTTGTAGTCGTCTGCAACTTGTGTTGGTTTTGTGGGACAAATGTGGCACCCAAAAAAAAAAAAAAAAAAACTGACGCTGCATCTAAGTATCCAGCATCTGTTATATCTGTTTCTATGCCAAAAACAGAGCAGAAAAGACATTTAGAGCTGTTTCGTCTTACATGCTTAGAGAAGAGATTCACCAGTTCAGTCACCAGTATTGATGGGCGATGCAAGAAGAAAACCTGTTTCTTTACCACTAATCAAAATCTGGGTTTAGAATGTTTTTGGTTTTGTTCTTTTGTTAATTGTATTTTTACACAAAGATCAAAATTTTTTATAATTTCTTATCTTGAGGAACAGTATCTGAGTTATCACGAGACAAATAACAAGATGCACTTAACTGCACAAGAAATGAAGAACTATTCAATTTATATTATACTTTCTTACCCAGGATTCCTATGTTTATGCCAATGATATTCTGCTCTATTGCTAATTCAGGTTCACTGAACACCGTAAGCTGTCTTCTATAGCAAGATACCTGTAGTTTTAATTGATAAATTCTTATAGTATGTTTTTATTTCACACCAGTTATATTGTTTATATTTCTTTTCAGCTTCTAAAAACTCTTTTGTTTATTCTTTAACTTGTGAAAAGCGCTGTATAAATTCATTTTACTTACTATTTACTTATAAAACAATGGATAAAAGTGAAAAATATCATCATGTAAACTGTTATATACATAAAGGATCTATGATGCTGTGAGCTTGTTTCTTTTCCAAAGGATCCTGGGGCCATTATGAAATCTTTTAATCTTGGAAAGTTTACATAAAAACATAACCTATGCTTTTGCTAGTCTTTGGGTCTGTCAGTAAGAAAAGCACCCAAAGTACATGCACAAATGAAAACAGCACTGGCTTCCCAGAGAAAAAAATGCAAAACTCCAGCTTCTTCAGTGTGTCAGTGTTTTTATTTTTACACCTTAATACAGAAGAAACAAATATTAAAACTTTAATTTCTGTTTAGAAGATAGGGTTTGCATTCAGTGGCAGGTTGCAAAAGCAGAATACATTCATGTCTCATTCAACACCCTTCACCTTGTGCGACCTTGTGCCAGACAATTAACTCAAGGGAAGCTCAGCGGCTCCTCCCAATTACTTAGGACTGGAGCCATATGATTCAGCTTTCAGGCTGTGTAGATGTAGAGCCAAAGCAGCTTCACCAACCACCCTTGCTCCCATCCCCACCCTGGTCATTGCATGCACCAATGATGACCCCCCACCCGCCTAGGTCCCATCTATAGTGAGCAGACAGAGGGGGTTTAGCTCAAACTGCTGCAATCTGCAAAATAACACAGTGCTGGATGCACTCTGGCAGCCAGTGACACACTTATATCCTGCACTCAGCTCTTTCCCTTTGTCATGGTGGATTGTGGATGAGCCCTATGGTGGTTCATGGGTGTTTGAGCGAAGGCTGGGAGAAGGACCAGGGCTGTAAACATGGTTTCTGTGTTTATCCATGCTGTTAATGCACACAGAGACGCAACAGGAACAGATGACGTGCTTTCATCCTTAAGTACTTCTGCCACTGAAGGCACTGGACAAAGCCAACTTGATGAAAATGAGTAACCTCTCATGTTCACCAGATAATCATTCATATTTAAGGTGGCTGCAGGCAGATTGGATCCAGTTGATCAATAAGTCAATATAGGCAGAGGTTTTTGATATCAGCCATTAAAACACAAAAGAAATCACCGTGTAAGTGGATTTGCAGTGAAATTTACAGCTGATGTAACAAAGTCTACTGAAAAACTCCAATGCAAATGCAATTTCAGAGTTAGTGACTTTACTTATTCTGAATTTAGATCTGTTTTGTGTTTTTATTTTCCCCCTAAAAATACCTTCTCAGGGAAATGGGTAGTGGAGTGTAGCGTCTCATCACAATTCATTTCTGCTAAATCTGCTGTTGGAAAAATTGATGAAAATACAGTCAAATACAGTCTATTCAGTGGTACTTTCATATGGGATCTCTTTAAATTTTGTACAAAAAAAAAACAACTAAAATGGGTAAAAGTTTGTGTCACATGACAAAATTGAAAAATAAACTACATCCGTTAATGTATTTTATTAGGATATTATATGA